ACAGATAGACAAAACATTTTATTTTATTTTTATACCTTTCGAATATGTAATGCCGAGTGTAATGCTATGTTTTTTCTCTTGTTTAGATGTATATGATGTAACTATGTACCTATTAGATTTGATTCGTCAAAATGTCCTTTTTTCGGAAAGTGATTGTCAAAAAATGGTCGACATTTGAAAAATGATAGTTAGACATGGAAATGTCATTTTGCCAACTTGTCTTATCATACTCATCACTAAAACTTCGCGATTGTAATTTTCTGAGGTCCTTAGATTAATTTACTTCCGATCATGGCCACCTAGATGTAATTTAAAAAGTGACTACGAAAAAAATAAGTAGGCATTGAAACTTTCGAAAATGTCACATTTTGATCTAGAATTGTCTCAGAAATCCAAAAATATTACAATATACAGGGTGCTCCCTTTACAAATTTAGAACCGGAGCCATTTTCGGTGAATCCGGAAGTAACCAAAAAGTAAAAAATATGTGAAAACTCTCCTCTTCACATACCATTTACCTATACCAAATCTCATTTTTATACACCTAATGGTCTAGAAGTTATGACTTGTCGAATAGATTCGTTGACACCCGGTATATCCATTTTTTGTGTCCATAAATATATCTGTGAATGTTCCTTCTCAAAAAATGTTATTTTTGTTGTTATTTTCTCTTCCTACTTCTACATTATATCTAAAAAGTAGGTGAAGGTAAATATCCCGTACTAGACTGGAACAAGATTATGCATGACGAAATGCGATACATTTGCGAGACTCTCGTACGAGACGCGAGACAAGACGAGACTCGAGGGTGCGAGACGAGACTCGAGACAAGACTTCATATTTCATCCGCGAGACGAGACGAGACTTTATGAAAGTCTCGTCTCGTTGGTCTCGTGTGAATCACTACATTGATGAAATAGAAATTCATGAATACTGAGTCTTCAGCGGCCTCTAGCGCCATAACTAACCATCACATCAGTTTACTATTCAGACATTTTGTTTAGAATGCCTTCGACTATCACATATCAAATCTCGCCCTGAGGCATATATCGGTCAGACAGATTGTACGTTAATCAGCGCATTTATGAACATAAGATGAATTTTATGAAAAATAAAACAAATTCAACATACGTCAACCATATATTGGAAGGAAACCATAGTTTTGATGATAATTTCGAAATTCTGCACGTAGAAAATAGAGGACTGAAACTCAATCATTTTGAATCAATAGAAATCAACAAACTCAAAAATTTTTACATGTTACTTCATGATCAATTAGACCTCAATAGTTCACCACTATTGAATTTGTTTTCTTAGTAAGTAATAATATGTATTTGCTATCAACTCTTTCAAGTTAATCCGGTATTATAGGTACCGTATTTTACTGTAGATCTTGTGCCTAATTTCCGAGAATGGAGGTTTATGGTACCTGTCCACAGGTAACTAATTCTTCAGGTTGGGAAAGTGAGATATATAAAATTTAAGCAAGCCAACATTAGTTTAGTTCATTGAACCAGTATATCACCTGACGAAGCTACTGTGTTAGCAAAACATGTCGTGTGTTTGAGAATTTTGTGGAAATCTTATCGTTCGTGAAGTTTTCACATTTGTCATGGATTTACTTATACAAAATACTTCATCTAGTTTCAACCTTTGCTTTTTATTGCTCAAATGATTCATGATCCAGTTCAGTGCTATTCCATCAATACCTACGCTTTCCATCTTTCTAATCAGTCTGCCTCTATCTACAGTTTCAAAAGCCCTTTGCAGGTCAAGAAATACTCCAATAGTATACTGATTCTTTTCCGCAATTTTCTTCCAATCTGTTAAAACGCATTGTTTCACAACTATGTTTGCTCCGAAAACCCGATTGATACTCACATAGGACCCTATTACTCTCCAAATAATTCACTATCTGCTCATTTACAGCCTTTTTCAATACTTTAGCTGTAGCAATAATAATGTCTATTGGCTTTTATTGAATAGCTTGGTTTGTATTTGGCACTTTTGGTATAGGTATAATAGTAGATAATTTCAATTCAGTTGGTACCTCACCTATCTCTAAAGAACTGTTGATCTAGGCATAATCTTCTACTCGAAACTCACGTTTTCTCACCACGTGAACATTGTTATCACGAATGGTTTCAAAACACTGGGTTTCATTATCAGAAACTCCAAATGGTTGTCTGGGATTAAAATCTACTTACTCCTTTTTGATGCGCTTGTGAGGTCAAGGTTTGAATATGGCTGCGTTGTCTGGAATCCTGGAAACATCACTTATAGTGATAGTTTGGAGAACATTCAGAAGCGATTTCTGAAGTACATCAGTTTCAGATGTGATGGCTCTTATCCGATGCGGGGTGTACCGCACGATACACTTCTTTCTAGATTTCAAGTCAACTACCTAGAAGAACGTCGTGCATATTTGGGAATTTTATTTTTACACAAGATCTTAGTCTCGCGTATTTACTGCCCATACCTGCTTCCACGTATTAATTTGCACGTTCCTAGGTTACCTGTACGCAGTTTCACCACGTTTAACCTGCCAGTCGCTCGAACAAATGTTCTTCTTTTTTCGCCTCTGTATAAAATATGTCGTGATTACTTGTCAATTCAGGATAGAATAGATATTTTTTCCTGCAAACCTATAGACATCAAAAGGGCTACTTTGCCATAATATTGTCACAAACTGTAGGCGGGGGTTGCCTAAGTTGTGTTCTTTTTGTCAATAGAGAATGAACTTTGAAAGTGATAATATTAAAGAATACTCCAAAAGGTTTCCAACAAAACATATACACACATTTATTCTTTGGTTTCTGATTAACAATAAATAAAAACTTAACTTACCCTATCTGTACATTAAAAGCTTATATTGCAGGGACCTTAGAGGAAGGGCATCTTCTGTTCTGCCCGAACTCCGACGGTTCGGGCACAGTGGCAATTGATGAAACTGATCGAATGATCGAAAATGATCGAAATGATCGGAATGATCGAAAATGATCGAACTGATCGGAATGATCGAACTGATCGGAATGATCGAACTGATTGGAATGATCGAACTGATACCTGTGCTGGCTTCCTCACGCCTTATATATATTTAATCTATATTTTGGAAACGTGACAGTGAGGAAGTCAGGTGGATGGTTTGAAGTCATTGTCACGCCTGTGTTTAGGTTCAACTATTAATCGAAAGTTCGTGGTTCAATAATTTTGGAAATAATAAACAGATACGTGAACGTTCAATGACTTCGAACCAATATGATTTTATAAGAATTTTTGGAATTTGACTCAGAATATCTTATCATTTGTGACAATATGTTTATATTTTTTGTTGTTGTTTTAACACTGTTTGTAGCGCTCTGTATGAACTTTTTTCTCACCGTAGTTTTTTTCAGCTCATACACATCGTTATGCAGTGTGTCATTTATTTTATGTTTATATCTATATTTTGTTCTCTCTGTTTTGTTTTTTGTTACAATATCCACACAGATTTCGGACCAAAATTGTTATTTTAGATGATCGTAAGTCGGACCCCTTACCTGTTAGATATGGAGTGCCTCAAGGCTCTATTTTAGGACCACTGCTTTTTTCAGTATATATTTCTGATTTTCACAAATTCTCTAGTCATTGTAAAATATATCACTATGCCGACGACACACATCTCATTTATAATTTTGTTTTCGATGAGTATGATGATGCATGCCACAAAATTAACACTGACTTAAATTCACTTTTCGATATCTCTGTTGCGCATAACTTGAACTTGAATGTCAATAAATCTTCTGTCACCTTTTTTGGCCCCAAGAGTAAGAGATTAGCAGCCTCACAAATGATGAACACATGCATGAATAATGAGATGCTACCGACTTTGAATGAATGTAAAAATCTTGGGCTGTGGTTTGACTCTGATTTGAGGTTCAGTAAACATGTTCGCTCATTATGTAAAAGTTCCTACGGTACTCTCAAGAAATTATTTTCTCAGCGCGACATTCTACCTAAATCGACCAAAATAAAACTTTGCGAAACTCTAATTTTTTCCAAGATTGCGTATTGCGATTCTGTTTATGGCCCTGCTTTACTTGCCTCTGACGCGAACAAACTTCAAATGATACAAAATTCTTGTGTTCGTTTTTGCACAGGATTGCGCAAGTTTGACAGGATTAGCAGTCACACTCACGAAATCGGTTGGTTGCAATTAGATAGGACACGTGACTTACATTCTCTCTGCTTCATACACAAGGTTCTAAAAACAGGAACCCCTATATATTTGAACCAAAAATTAGTGCTATCAGAAAGTAATAGGGTGAACACCAGAAAAAGAGACCTACTCATCGTACCTAAGCATTCCACGGCATATTTCACCCGCAGCTTCTCCTATCGTGCTTGTGAGTTGTATAATAATCTGGATTCAAATTTCCGTCATTATACATTATTCAACTTCAAAAAAAAAAAAACTGAAAGAGCTTTATTTCAGAAACTGCACAAATAACTGATTAATACTGATATGTTCCACCTTTCTCGGCTTACTGATTTTTACAATAATTACCACGATGTAGTTGATATTCACATGTATTTATATTAATCAAGTTGGGTTTGTTTGTTTTTTTTTTTGTGTTTTTTTTCTCTTCTCTTTATTTTTCTTTCTTTTATTTCTCTTCTGGTAAAGTTTAAAAACAGCTTAAGCTGACACTTCACCATTTCATCATAAATCTTTCTCTTATAATTCAATGTATGCTCAGTTGATTGTGATGAATAAAGACATTTATTATTATTATTATTATTATTATTTTTATTATTTTCTCATTCTGTAATTGGCCTCGGCTGTTGAGTTGGTGTACCGCTAAAATAAAAAATAAATGAAATAAAAATAAAATAATGTTCAACAATGGATTAAAAATGGCGTTGAAACACTTTTTCAGAAGTTCTACACGAATCTCATCGGGACTACTTTTATTTATTGTCAAAATTGAAAAAAACACTGATTTTGTTTTGCTTTGCAGGAGAGAAGTCCTGAAAGAGAAGGACGACATCAGCGACGGGATGGGTACGCCCGATTGGAGATTAAGCCTTCTTCTGCTCTTCAGCTGGGCAGTTACCTTCCTGGTGTCCGTTCGAGGGGTCAAAAGTTCGGGCAAAGCGTCCTACTTCCTGGCCCTCTTCCCCTACGTCATCATGATCACGCTGCTGGTGAGAGCGTCAACGCTGGAAGGCGCCACAGATGGGATGTTTTACTTCGTCGAGACTGATTTTTCCATGTTGCTCAACGCCGATGTGAGATACTGAATAATTAATCATTCATCCTTATTTTTATCATCATTCTCAGGTAAATTAGGTTAGGTTAGGTTCCATGTGAGTGAGGCGAATACCTCCCCTCCACTGCGACCCCAGATGGGTCTATTGTAGCTCACCCCTAGAGGTTACAGTTCACCGTACAATCCCAATCCAGATTTGTCTGAAATCGATACGTTCTAAATTGGTAAAGCCAAATGTGTCGAACCTTAGTATTTCTAAGCTAGAGCATGAACATAATATGTGTTCAGCCGTTTCGTCTTCCACACAACAGAGCCGACAGTCCGTTTGTTGGTTCAGACCCATCCTTCCCAGGTGGTATCTTAGACGACAGTGTCCCATAAGCAGTCCAGTCAGAGTTCGCAGGTTACCCCTGCTCCATTCTAGGATCTGCCTGGTTATTTTTTCCGATGGTTTAGGCAGGAACGCCTTCGAATGGGTTGATCCTGGTAATTCAGACCAGTACGTGAGTATTGTTCCATCCGCCCAGCCCGAGATAGTTGTTTTCGCCGCACTTGCGGTGACCCCAAAATATGGTTCTGGTCCTATGAACTCAGATTCGGTTCCCTGTTTGGCGAGGATGTCGGCTTTCTCGTTACCCTCCACCCCCTGGTGTCCAGGCACCCACAGCAAAGTGACTCTGTTGTTAGCACCCAGGCATTCTAGAGATTCAATACAGTTCCATACAAGCTTGGAATTTATCTTGCTGGAGCTCAGTGCTTTAAGAGCAGCCTGACTGTCTGATACAATACTGATATTTTTGTCTACTAGAGGTTTATTCGACAACTCTCTAGCACACAATTCAATTGCGAATACCTCCGCCTGGAAGATTGTAGCATATTTGCCGAGGTTGACGGAAATTTCCGTCTTCGGTTTTCTGCTGAACACACCGGCTCCAACTCCAAGAGGGGTTTTCGAACCATCTGTGTACATTACGTGTTCGGTCTCTGGGAATTGGACTCATCCACTTGCCCATTCGTCTCTTTTCGGAAAGATGACTTTGAAAGACTTTTTCACGTGTGTCTGAGTGGCCAACATGTCGGGAATCATTCCTAGAGTTTGGTGATTTTTTGTTTCACACAGTATCCCGGAGTGGTCCAGCAGTCGCACCCCTCTAATTTGATTTTTCAATGACAGGAATCTGTACATTCCGAGGTAACACGGAACCCTCCGCGATATCTCTAAGTAGCTATCTTCAGGATCAAAATGCGAAATCCTCCTGCGAGGTGCCAAAGATCACTATAGGCTGTCACCATGGGAAATACTATCTGGAGTCGTTCGAAAGAAATCGCGGAGATCTCGCCTCAGATTTGAGATATTTCTCATTATTGCGAATCCTTGAGGATATATATAACAGGAAATGAATAGGCATTTCTTTCTGCGAGCACTCAGGGATATCCAGGACATAACAAGATCGAGCATTTCCCAATGCGAGCTTCTAATAAAGTAATCACAAACATAACCTGCATAATTAATGAATATTCCTACAAAAATATTAAGTTGTTTTTTTCAGTAGCCTTCATAATTCAAATACTGGGTGTCCCATGTTATCGTATACAGGCGATATCTCGCCTATTTGTCAAGATATCAAAAATATTAAAAAAGTGCATTGAATGGCATTTTAAATAACCTTCCTGATGGTTTATGGAGAATGTGATACATTGGGCAGCCCCCCGATGGTAGATACTGATCAGTTTTTATTTTGAAATAGCATATTGTATCTGAAAATTGCGTGTCAATCTATTTGGAATACAACGATATAGCACATACTTGGTGTTTTGTTCATTGATAACAACAAAAACATGAACATTTTGTGACGTTACTCAAATGAGAAATTGCTTTCACCCATGTGTCCAAAATAGTATATTATGTTAAAAGTGTTATAAACGTCATTTTAGTAACGAGTAGTTCAAGCAAGAGCGGAGCAGAGCGGAGCGAGTGTTTAAACGAGTGTCTAGAAGAATTTATGAACGCGTTACATACTATGATTTTTCTACGAACTCCGAAAATTACATTAACATACCTGCAATTCCTGCTAACCCACAAAATAATTCGAAAGGAATGGGAATTGAGAACATAATACATGCAACTGCAGGCAACCAGCGAGACACGTATAAGTGATATTGGTTGTAGATGTGTCCAGTCGTTACCACCGATACAACATTGCTTACTAACCTTTATTGTTTCACGCTAATTGTCATGCTTAGCGCAAAATGAATGAATTGTTCTCAAAATCCGTGATTAATCGATCATTCAGCGTGATGCATATCCGTACGCTAAATGCCATTTTAGTTAGGTGAGTAGAAAAAGTACTTTAAAAATGTCCAATATTCCAATTTGAAGTGCAGAACATCAATCATTGCAGACGGAACCTACCTAGTGCATGTAATAATTAATCTACCTCCTACAAACATGAGAGGAGGCAATTTTCAATCCAACTTTCATGTCGGATTCCCGAGTATATAGTCGGGATCTGGGAGAGAAAGTATAGGTGGCCCTTCAGCGCCTTCGTAATTCTTTTTAGGTAACAATGAAAATTACTCCACTCGTCTATTAGCAATAAAAATTCAATTGTCCCAAAATGTTGCCTCATGATTTGTGGATTTTTGCTTATAATGAATTTGTGTGAATGATTATTATTTTAATTCACTTCAGGAAAAATTAGTGAAACTGACCTTATTCCAATCATCAGAGAAATGGATGTTGATCGAGAAATCGAAATTTTCTGGTGAGTTATTCGAATAGAATATTAGGTAGCATCAGATCACTCACATAATTTATAAATTGCTAGGAAATCATTTTTCATATCTGCATCAGCTCAAACAAGTCGGGTTCTGCAATAGCATAAACATATACTTATGAGCTCATTACGTTCTCCAATTCACTATTCATGCTCATTTAGAAGATCTTTTCATGAATTAGCCTGAATGATGGATGTTCATATAAATGTTCAATATTAGTTGAATTTTTTCCAGGTTTGGTATGCAGCAGTCACCCAGTGTTTCTTCTCTCTGAATATCGGATTTGGCTCTATCATCATGTTTTCTTCGTACAACAGATTCGAACACAACATAAATAGGTTTGTTCACTTCAATTCACGTAAAATTATCGATTAGGTTTTCTGGAGAGTTGATAAACAATTTTTTTATCAATAAGCACATGCAGGTCCCAAAATAGTAATAAAATAACAAGTAGAGCTTACATTCATCTCTATCTCTTATGGAATTTTAGAGCTTGTTCAGTTGGTTTCGTTCAAGTCAGTATACCTAAATGAACAGGGTGTTTCGTAATATGTGGGACGCACTTCGAGAGGTTATGGAGCGTCTTGAGAGAATTAAAAAGTTCAGAAGAAACTCCTTTAGATAATCCATATGCTTATTTGAATGATAATGAGTACAAGCATATTTTTCAGATAATATAATTTCAATATTTATAAGAAGAAACAATAAAAGTATCAAAGTCTGTCGACCACGAGAAAATATTTAATAATAGTAGTGTAACTAGTTTCGGCCACAGGCCATCATCAGACGAAGAATTGATGTATTGAAGTACCTTAAAGATATAAGAAAACATGATTAAGGAGTCAAAAAGAGAGTCAAAGAATTTGGTATACTAACCTCAGTGATACATATCAGACTCGCTATCAGAAGCAAAAATTTTTTTAGTAACATAATTTCACAAGATGTCATGCATTCAACGTATCATGGAATGTTCAAGGACGTCCTCAGAATGACCTGGATTCGATTCGGAATGTATATCCATCGGTGGTATATACATTGGCATCAGAACTTCAGATAGACATCCTATTCAAATGCCCTCTACGCAAGTGAATGAACATTTTTTCTTTCAATGTCCTAGAAATAACGTACTACGGACTTCTCCATCGGTACTTTTGATATATTATCCCTGTAGGACGTCAATTTTTTATTTTAAGTTTTGGTTCCAACGAAAAGGGATATCCTGTAATGTTCTGAGAACATCGTGAGAACCAAGGGAAATAAAGTAGGAATTGGTGTTCTTCTTGGATTTCTGGAGGTGATATGCCTCAGGGAACCCCTTCCTTGGCAATGTGTTCCAGAGCCTCGCTGTTCGTTGGATGAACGAGTCTTTGGAAAGAGATAATCTGCAGGTCTCCAAAGTTACCACGAAGGGGTGCGAAACCTCAACTCGACGGGTTGATCTCGCGGGGACTGCCAAGGGAGGAACAATTGTTGATATTTCAGAAGAGCATCGTTCATGAAAATATCTATAAAATAGAGCCAGATCACCAGCAAAGAGCCTATATTCTTTGTCACCAGTTTTTCAACGGTGTTCCAGAGAAGTGAGTGAGTTTGTGAGCTGAGCATCACCCACGAGACAATATTGCCCTTTTTTGGACAAAATCCAACAGTTTCAGGGTATGTTTGGGTGCTGCACTCCAAATATGGATACAGTATTCCAGGACAGGTCGGATCTGTGCCTCATAGATCATAAGCAGCTGACTGAAAGTGAAATATCTCCTGGCCTGAAAGAGAAAACCGATTATTGCTGACAGTAATACCAAGTATCGAAATGGATGTCTTCAATGGTATGGTTACTCCTGACAAGCTTATGTAAGGCACAGTGAGATCGGCTTTTCTAGAGAAAAGGCATGCTTGTGTTTTGTTTGCATTGAAATCTACCAAGTTATTGAATCCCCATTCGAGAATTGTTGCCAAGTCCATATTTGTGTTATCAACATTTCTCCCTCGTTCGTTTCTGATTTGCCTGGCTGGTATTGTAGCCCCGGAAGAGAAGGCGGTATGGAGGGTTCTATCATCCGCGAAGCTGTGTACTGGACATGAAGTTGCTTCCAACAAATCGTTGATATGGAGTAGAAATAGTATTGGTGCTAGATTTGATCCTTGCGGATCACCAGCATTTATGATAAGAGTCAGATAAAACTCCGTCGACCATAGGTACCTCGCCGATGCTCGACTGCTCGTAGGCTATAACTACTCTCCGTCAATGTCCTTTACAAAGTCCATTGGACATCCTTGAGAAAATATTTGTAGGGACCTCTTGGGATCCTTCTTCAGGATCTATTGGAAACCTTTTACGGATCATCAACTCAACTGGAACCATAGAGATCCAATTAAATTCAAATTCAAGAATAATTCGTACGTCCCTGGGACATCATTTGGACATCCAATTGATATCCCTCAGTATTGCTGATAGGTTATCCAACGGATGTCCTCCATAGTTCTTGATGAGCAAAACTGTAGGATTTGAGTATTCGATATAGTTGTCCCAGGGACATCCCTTAAGGAAGTCCCTGGTTGGTCTTCAATTGGGACAATTGTGCATCCCCCACTCGGGTAATAATCAAAATATGAATGAAGACTTCAGATACCAACGAAATTTCTATGGTTCCTCTAGTAGTAACAACTCTGGATACTTTCACTTCACCTTTTGAGGACCATCAACCAAACTGGAAAACCTTATCAAATATGCAAGGTCTGGTCTCCCTAGAGACCCAATTAATTTCAAATTCATAATGATTCGAATGTCCTTGTGACATTATATGAACATCCAATTGATATTCCTCAGTATTGCTGATAGGTTGTCCAACGGATGTCCTCCATAGTTTTTGATGAGAAATACTTTAGGATTTGAGTATTTCCCTAATAACACAATAACATCTGTAAGACGTCGTAGAAACATCCATATGGGATGATAGGAACATCTCTGGAAAATCCCTATTTTCCTTGGGATATTCTTGGGATGTTGCTGGCAACACCCGTGTCAGCATTTGCGATGTCTTATAAACATCCCATCAGAATGTTTGTGGGATGATACGGAATGTACCAGAGACATTCAGGGTACTTGATATGGAACATCTTAAAGAAACTTTTATATAGGATGTTTTTTGTTTGATGACAGTAATGGATGACACGGTATGAATTATTTTCAATCTGAAATCCTGAAAATGGCCGACCTATTTCCAGATATCAAGTAACAATCTGAATCCGAAAATATAAGGTCGGTGCGGTCCAATAACTAATGGAAGATAATAACAGTTGTTTGATGCTCATATTTGTTGGCGCTGGGCCGACGGCTGTTAGTAAGTCTTAGCAACGTAGTTGTACCGCCATCTATCGGCTGGTATAACAAATAAATTCAGCAATAAATATGCTGGAGAGATATATTTTGATTTTGTCGTTCATTACATGGTTCATGAAGTAAAGCAGGTACTTTGGTAATCTTATTGACGAATATTTAGTATAATTATTTCAATTTGTTATCGATGAAATTAGCCGGCTTTGGTATAGGTATAAGTATATATGTACGAATACAGTTCTGATTTCCATTTTTTATCAACTTTTCAATGTTTCAAATGTCACAATTGTTTGAACTGTTCAATCATGTCAATCATCATTAGCAGATATGGAACCATGATATTGTTTATAAAAAGAGATCAAATGGGATGTTTCTGGAACATCCAATGAAAACATCTGATGGATGTCCCAAGATAAACATCTCTGGGATATCGTCCCTAAGTCTGAAACATTGGGACATTTGTAGGACCTTAGCGGGATGTACCAGCAAGATCCCGTGTTGTTAGGGTTGATAGTTGTCCCAGGGACATCCGTCGAGGAAATCCCAGGGACATTCCTCAAGGAAGTCCCTGGTTGGTCCTCGAGTGGGACATTTGTGCTATCCCCAATTGAGATTTTGATCAGAATATGAATGGAGATTTTAGATACCAACGAAATTTTCAGGGATGCTCTAGTAGTAACAACTCTGGATACTTTCACGTCCTTGCTATCGGGAATCACGATCTTTGGAATACTCGGCAACCTCGCATTTGAAATGGGCGTAGAACCAAAAAAAGTTATATCGGTAGGAGGAGGAACGGGCCTGGCTTTCATCTCTTATCCAGATGCAATTTCCAAATTCACTCAAGTGTCTTGGGTAAGTGATTTATATAACATTGTGATTGTGAAAGACTCTTATTATTGTGTACGAATGTAAAATATCGCAATTTTAAAGCTACATGAGAACGGCATTATAAGAACATTGATATTTGAAAACCATCTTCGCAAAAATCCCACATATTCGGATGCGGTTTCTTCATTTTGAAGATAAACAAACATCTACGAAACAATGAAAAATTCTCTATTTCACAATGAGATAAAAATGCCATGTTCATCGAGTCAGATATCATTATAGGAGCGATATAAAAAGCTGTCATGTTTATGAAGTGAGAAATGTTATAAATTCTTTCGTAAATAAATCAAGCTCAGGCATTGATGATATATCTATACGGATATTTCAAAATCTTCCAGAAAATGCAGTCAATATCATGGTGAATCTAATAAACAGAACTTTCCAAGAAGGTACATTTCCCGATTTCCTAAAAATATCGTTGGTTATTCCTCAGCACAAATGTGGTGACCATAATAATCCATCAAACTATATAGACCTATCTCTCCTACATTAGCCAAAAATTATTGAGAGATTAGTTAAGATTAGATTATCGGCTTTCTTAGTTAAAAATCACTAATTCTCAGTTCGGTTTTCAAGCTGGAATAGATACACCGAGAGAAATATCTATTAGCTGTTATACGGAATTGTATAACCATTAAAAGATTTCTGAATTGAATAGGCGCCAGCATATACAGGGTGTCAATTTGAAAACTTCCCACCCTCAATATCTCCCTCCAAGTCGATAATATGGAAAAACGAAAAGACAGGTCGATTTTATTTTCGAGGGGGACATGGTTCTAAAATCTTTTCAGCCCCGCGGCGTTGCCGCTTCTAACGAAAAGAAGCAACAACTTTGTTATTTCAAATGGAACACCCTGTATTTTATTGCATTTTTAGATTCTCACTGAAAAGCTGATTTCATCAATGTATCACACTTGGGGTCTAGCAGGAATGATTACAGAGATATAGGGTGTTCAAAATCGAGATTTTACAACTTTAGGATTTTTTTGAGTCGAAACTATTCATTATTGGTCAAAACGGCTTTTATGTCCCTATCTCAACTTTTGATTTACTATCTACTGACATTTATTTGAAACAAATACAGGTTGGTTCAAGATTCAGACTTTTGAATAAATAATAATAATAATAATAAATAATACTCATATTAATATAATATGCTTTCAATTTCATAGTCAAAAGATTGCATGGTATTTCAGTATTAGGATGATTAATTTTTCTCCAGAAAAATGAAGAGGGTTGAAACTCTTCGAGAAATATTGAAGACATTTAAACTTGGTTTATATACTTACCCCCAAGTGAAGTTTCTTTGAGGAACTACAGGGCATTGAAGTGCATCACAAGGACGATATACTCAGTTTTCAATATTTCAGTTTGTGTAGGACAAAAATGCTTCCAATTTGAACTATTTGTTCTCATTGTCAGTGCATTGGATTATTAGTTTACATAGTGGCCAAAAATGAAATTACACAGTATCGTCAGTTCACATTCGCAGATTTCGTTTTATTTTATTTACCGTTATTGCCACTTGAGCTTTACAAAAGAGCGTTGAGAGACTTTTCTTACGACGTTTTCGAGATACCCATGATAGTAATCATTAATCTTGGACACAATGTATACGCAATACAATCCATCACCGAGAAAACTGTTCAAAACCAAGCTTTTGCCACTTAGTGAATAGTGGGGTGAGTTCAAAAAATGAAAGTTTTTCCAATTTGGAAGACATTCCGATACCCTACACTTACCGATATATCGTGAAAACACCATAACGCACAGAGGCAGTTCAACATTCTGTAGTTCCTCAACAAATCTTGGGGGATATATGAACAAATATGTCCCTAATATTTCTAGAAGATCTCCCAATCACTTCACTTTTTCGAAGAAAAAAATATCACTCTGCAAGAAGTGTTCACGAGCTGCCGCGAGGTAATTATGTCCTTTCATATCAGGAATCCGAAGACGACTAACGATTCTCATCGAACAAGGGTGTTCATAGGTGATTGAGATGACTCATTGAGGTAAACGAGTATGACAAAGATGGAAAATGATAGAAGGGATGAAATTAAATGATAATTGTATAACTGTGAAATGACATCTTTTAGGATTTGAATGATTTTCTTCAAATTTCCATCTTTTAACTATAATCTTGTATCTTGTCTCATTTCGAATGTAAAAGATAACCTTTCTGAAACAAAAAGAGTGATTCGAAAGGGTGACCTGTTTCACGTTGAAAACGTGAACTTTTCACGTTCATCAGATGACATTTCGTGGTTAAAATGTTTCATTTGGCGGTTATAAGAAGTTTTTGAATAGAGACATGTATAACTGGACTTTTCTCAGTGTACGAATGATGCAATTTTCTCTTTTTTGTTTGACGTTTACACACAGATAAATCGAGGAGAAGTTACTGCAGCAGTATTCTGTGACTTATCTAAGGCGTCCGACTGTGTGAACCACGGAATACTGTTGCGAAAGCTTTACCGTTATGGGTTCAGGTGTGTCTCTCAGAAATGGATCGAGTCATATCTGTCAGGTCGAAGCCAAATTGTGAAAACAACAACATACTCCAATGAGTCGACTGTAGAATGTGGTGTACCTCAGGGGTCTATACTCGGACCAATAACGCTTTTTTTACCATACATAAATGACTTAGGCAGAGCTAACATTTCAGGAAAAATAACGTTGTTCGCGGATGATACGAGTATTTTCTGGCATAATGAAAATGCCGAAACACTTCTTGATATTATCAAGGATGACATGTCTGAGGTTGAAAAATGGTGTGATTCAAATAAGTTGGTGATGAATTTGATAAAAACTAATATGATGTCATTTAAAGGTGAATTAAACGAGCTAGTCATGGGTGATGACGTCATAGAAAACACCAATAATACAAAATTTCTAGGCATCCAAATAGATTTCAGATTGAAATTTGACGAACATGTTAAAATTTTGATCAAAAAATTGTCTTCTGAATGTTATGCGGTGAGACTCACATCAAATGAATTAGGATTTTTTTCTTCTAAGGTTGTTAACCACTCCTTACACTGAAAAAAAAAAGATGGTAGTCATCACCAAACGTTTAGTAAAATAGGCGCCAGTTACAACTTTCATCAAATAATACCACTACAGAGTTGTACTATACTACACTATGCGTATTATACTATTTTGTAGTGGTATTATATAATGTTGTAGTGGTATATCATTTGATGAAAGTTGTGACTGGCGCCTATTTCACTAAACGTTTGGTAATAACTACCATCTTTTTTTTACCGTGTAGTTGAATCTCATTTAAGGTATGGAATTCCATTCTGGGCGGTGTGTAATGATAATCTCATAAATTCAGTTTTTATATTGCAAAAACGCGCAGTGAGATAAATATGCAAAGCAAAAATTCGTGACCCCTGCAGACCCCTATTTATTAAACACAAAATTTTAACAGTTAGTTGCTTTCAAGATGAGAGAACTCGCATCCCAATATGTGAAACTATATATTGTGAAGCTACTCAATGTTGAATTTAGTGCAAAGATCTGTTTGTCGCGTTTCAATTATTGATCATGATATATTTTATTTCTTCAATACTATATCGTAATCAGTTTTCATAGGAACAGAAAATCAACAAACCGTCAGTAAAATATCACAATCTTGCATAAAAAAGTACCCTTTTGGGTCAAAATTGATCAGATAACAAATTGAACGCGATGATGAATGACTCATATATGGATTTGTAGTTCTCAGTGTCATCTTAAGATTGCTCTGACATCATGAAATGCAATTTCTATAAAGAACTGCTATTAAATACAACGATTCTGATGAAAAGTCGAAACGACGAAGAAAAGGTTAGATGAACAATGAGTTATGACTGATTATTGTTCAGTTGAAATATGCACGGAAAAAATAATTGTCAAATCAAGCAAAATTTAATTGAATGAATCAGATGGAAGTGTCATATATGCACGACAAAAAATATAATCTTGAAATCATCAAATCTATATCTTATTTCAGAGCGAATTTGAAGTTTGAATTAAGTAAATATGTCTTGCATGAACTCTGGATCTTATTCAATCGAGCATATCCATGAATTGTTCATGGACAGATATTGAATTGGCTCACATAATCATTTTGTTTGATTCAGAATAACAAGATATCGATTCAATCAAATATTTAGTTGATCCAATGAAATTTTTGGTTGATTCAAAGAAATATTTGGTTGATTCAATGGATTATTTGATTCATGCAATGGAATATTTGGATAATTTGATGAAATATTTGGTTAATATAATGGAATATTTTGTTGATTCAATGAAAAATTTCGTTGATTGAAGAAAAGCTGTATTTCTATTCCACAAAAATTGTTTTGTTGAACCAAATTCAATATTAATTCGTCGATTTTCTGAAATTGCACATCTATAGAATAAACTGAACTAGGAAACTAGTCGACTTCTAGCAAAGATCTCCAGTCTTTACTTCTCTTCAGCAAATGCGCAACTATTTAAGATTGCCAATCATCCTAAGTTCGTTTTATCCAGCTGATATTTCATTCATGAAGAATCAGGCTCCACGTATATAATGAATTCGAGGCAGGCATAGACGAGACGAAATGATCGCCATCTAGAGGCGAGAATTTAGCTCGATGCAGAACGAACAAAATATTTCACTGATATTACATAATATTTCGTTGCTCTATTCAAGCAAATCGTCCGTTCGAAACGAGCTCATTGCTACATCGGAATAAATAAACTTGTATGTTGTTCCAGAGATATATTCTCATCAAAATCATCATTATTTGATCAAATCAACAAAATGTTTGTAGTTAAATCAGCATCGACATTATTTTGCATCGACATAATTTGTTTTTGAGTAAACCATATATTTTGTTGATGGAATTGATATCACACCGTTGATTCAATTAGACTACATTTTTGTTTTGAACGAGCTGCTTCCATGAAATAATCATGTATCTGGTTGATTCAATAATAAATTTGCTCAGTCCAACAAAAATAATTCGAGCAGAAATAATTTGTTGATGCAACAATCCTTTTTTTTTTTCGTTTAATTATTATGAATGTTGAATTGATGTTGAAGAACGATCATGATGGGTTGATGTAGGTAGGTATACCTATGAAATACGATCATGATCAGTTAGTGTCGCTATTATTCTGAGAGATTGCTGCTCCTAATAATATTCTGATTAGAAAAGATTTTGTTCGATTATTTTAGCGATCAATTGAGGTTTCCATAGCAAGTTATTTAGTCGCTACAAAATATACATCAGTTTTGATGATTCTTCTATTACAATATTTTAGCTATTCGCTCTCCTGTTCTTCTTCATGCTTTTCGTTCTTGGAGTGGGGAGTTTGGTGGCTCTACATGGTACTCTCAACACTACCATCAAAGAAGCTATGCCAGGTACACCAGAATGGATGGTATCTGGAGGCACTGCTATTCTACTGTTCTTGATAGGGTTGATTTACACTACCCCGGTAAGTTAGTGAAATCCTGCGTAAATAGCCCAGACAGCACCAGATATTCCATGAATATTCATAGAATTTTTTTTAAATTGGGGATATTTATGAAAATGCCAGGGATATTCATGAACATGCCAGGGGTATACAAATATCCTATGGAATATTCCCTGAATGTGCTGATGTGCACGAATGAATATATTCCCAGAATAATACATCAGGTATATTCAGATAATATTCGGAATATTCTAAGGTTGATACAGGGATATGAATAAATGAATATTCATGGAATATTCCACTAAACATATCCATAAATGAGAAAAAGTTGACCCAACGTGGGATTGAATTCAGATTCTCAGAGCAACGCCTTAACCACTAGGCCACTAATCAAGTTGAATTGTACATAACAATTTCTTGAAGAGCGTTGTTCAAAATCAGATCACAAACTCACTCACTTCTCTGGAACACTAAAGAAAAGTTGGCGATCTGGCTCCATTTTATAGATATTTCCATGGACGATGCTCTTCTGAAATATCAACAATTGTTCCTTCCTTGCCATTCCCCGCGAGATTAACCCGTCGAGTTGAGGCTTCGCACCCCTTCGTGGTCACTTTGGAGACCTGCAGAACATCTCTTTCCATAGACTCGTTCATCCAACGAACAGCGGGGCTCTGGAACACATTGCCAAGGGAGGTGTTCACCAAGGCATATAACCTCCAGAAATTCAAGAAGAACACCAATTCCTACCTTATTTCCCTTGGTTCTCACGGTGTTCTCTGAACATTACAGGATATCCCTTTCCGTGGGAACCAAAACATAAAAAAATGAACACTTTCTGTTTCAAAATCTCGATACATATTATAAAGATGAGCCTATATGGGCTCGAAACATAAACCATGATCGGATTGAGTAATTTGATCACTATTGAAAATGTGGAGATTACTTTGTATTTTTGATCCCTGGTAACCAACGAATCCATTACAGGATACGATAGACAACTAGCACAGATTATATAATGGATGCGAAATGAATGTTTGATACTCACATCTATAAAATACTGGTTGGTGTTTATACGATACCATTTCAATGAAATACATACTAATAGGTATACCTGAATATACCCTGAACAATCTAAGTGGGATATTCTGGGTATAGCCACCTTCAAAAATTGCTTCTGGAATATTCCTTGTATTTCATTTTGAAATATTACCGGAATATTCATATTTGAATATTCCTTGGATGTTCCAGAGAGACATATCATATTCTAGGAATATTCGGTGGATATTCGGAATATACTCTCGTCTTTTAGCATAATCAGAAAATATTCTAGGATTATCCAGTGCTGTCTGGATGCGGGTGAAGCAAGTAGGAAGAACATCTCAATACATATTTTCGAGTTGTTTTAATTGAAACTGATGAAGTAGATTGCTTATCGGATGTGAATAAGACATGAGACTTATGTGTGTTTTTAATTTTGGAAACAGGAAGCGTTGACGCACACATTTCTGTGATCCATAAAATTTTGTCTTTTGCAGGGTGGTCAGTATACATTGGACCTTGTTGACCATTTTGGTGGCACATTTGTGATATTTGTCTGTGCCATTCTGGAAGTTTATACTATCACTTGGTTCTATGGTATGTATGAGTATTTACACCTGAAAATACCCAAATTGAAGTATCTTTCCGTATAGTATTGTATTGTCTGCATGAGAGGGGTGACACCAACCTGAAAGATTTATTGGGTGTCCTCTGTTATAGAGATGTGTTATTGCCCTTAGGCTCATTTCCAAAGAAGTGAATTGATTTTTCTTTCAGTCTCTTTGATAGAAACATTATTGAACGCAGTGATATTCTGGTTTGTCCTCACTACATGTACTTATATTGAAATAATATTATTAAAACTGCACAACATGTTTCGCTAACACAGTAGCTCCGTCAGGTGGTATACTGGTACAATGATCTAAACCAACCTTGGCTTGCTTAACTGATATATCCTACTTTCCCAACTTGAAGGATAAGTTACCTGTGTACAGGTTCGATAAACCTTCATTTTCAGAAATTGCGCACAAAAACTACATTGAAATACGGTGTACCGGATCAACTTGAGAGGGTTGATAACAAATACATATATTATAACCTACGAAGAAAACAGATTCAACAGTGGTGAACTATTGAGGTCTAATTCCCAGCGAGAACGAAAACATCTTAGAGATGTTAAAAGTACGAGATTTTGAGACATTGAACCTCCACTGCGATGTTCTGTTCACACATGAATAGAACTATTATAGAACAGCCAATGTCCGCCGCAGGCGTCAATTATCGAGATGTCCTTGATATGTCACAAAACTACCTTCTCCCTAGTTCTTTTTAAAGCCTTTTCATGGACACAACAAAACATTTTCAACGCGTCTTGCGCACATTGAATCGCTGTAAAAAAACCATTTTCGAGGTACTTTTCTGAAGCCTTTTGTCAAATGAACTTTTGCATTAGGATTCCATTTCCCTTGAATGAAAAAATGCATTAAAAATAGATTGAACATAAAAATATTTTCTTGATATGAATTTACCTTCTTAATCGGTTTCTGAGTAGTGATTACTACACACAGACATATAATTGGAAATAGGTTTCCCAATTTTTGAAATGTTCTCCACAATGCATAATTTTGCAACTGCGGAGAAGCTGTGTATTGATGAATTCGTACTTTTATATATTGATTACACTGGGGCACCGAACAACACATCTTGCATCTGATGGTCATTATTACAAACTAAATAAGTCTTCTAACACAATAAACTTCACCAAATTCCTTTCTGTTCGTTAGCAGCGTGATGTAAGCGTGACACGCTGCAAACGCGAATGCCAATTGCGAACAAGAAGAACAAAATCGAAAACAAATCAGAATTCATCGTATCGTGACGTGAGCATGAGACGTTGTGGTGGGGCAAACAAAGAAAGGGCACAAAAGAACAAAAACAATACTTTCAATATCCTTCTAAGACATCTTTGGGAAGTGCATATCACGCCTCAAAAAAACATCCTCATGCCTACATTTCTAAAACATCCCAGGGATACCTTTCAGTAGGCAAACAAAGAAATGCCACAGAAGAACGAAAACAATACTTCAATATTTTTCAAAGACCTCTTTGGTCAGTGCATATTACGTTTCAAAATAACATCTTCATGCCAACATTTTCAAAACATCCCAAAACATCCCAGGGATCTTTGTGTTCGCTGGGTTGATCGTTGAGTGAAATGTTAGAATTTTCGAGTTTTTTGATGTCTAATAATTCAAAATGATTCAAGTTTTATTCTTATATTTGAACGTGTCGAATTTGGAAATTATCATCAGACAAATGGATTTCTTCCAATATATGGTTGGGTATGTTAAATTTGGTTTCTTTCTCAAAAAATTCATCTCATGTTCATGAATGCGCTGATCAAACCTACGACCTGTCTGACTTGTATATACCTCAAGACACGATCCATAGTTGAGTTTGTAAACCCCTGTTTTCTCGAGTTTCGAAGTTTTGTCTTTACTATTTTTGATAAACCTTCCCAGCGTGTTATTTGTTCTATATGCTACTTTCAAGTAATGTTCATATGTAGAAATGAATCTTATTTTTCAGTTGATGATACGAAATAGGTTGAAGTTCTATAATTTTGATAATCATTCTTGATGGTAGGATGAACTTCTTGAATAGCTTTATCAAGAAGTTTTTTTAGGAAAAATACTGTTTATCAAATTATCGTTGAATCCGTTGTTGACTGCAATCTGTTTTATGATATTGAGTTCTTCATCATGTATCATACTATTATATGCTGCAATTTCATGATAAGGGTTTGATGAATTATTATGAATAGTGATATCAGTGTGGGAAGGTTTATGAAAAATTTAAAAATCATGTTTATCAATAATTTTACTTATTGTCAAATCTAAGAAATTGATTATAACTGACGAAGCTACTGTGTTAGCGAAACATGTTGTGGAAATCTTATCGTTTGTGAAGTTTTTACATTTGCCATAGATTTCCAACAGGTAACGGCCGAGTCAAATGAAAAAATGAAACGATACTCATATTTTCATTTCATACCTTGAATAATATCGCTCAAAAATAAATGACTTTTTTTTTATTTCAGGTGTTGATAACTTTTGCACGGATTTGGAATTCATGACGAAAAAGAAAGTCGGTATTTATTGGAGGATTTCTTGGGGTTTGATCACACCCGTCCTTCTCACTGTAATTTTTGTATACTTCCTAGCGACGCTAGAACCTTTAACTTATGGTATATATAAACTTTTGTACCCCATCGGCCTATCAAGTAAGTACCTATATGTAATCATACAGGGTGAGTCATGCCGTACTCGACCTACATTTTTTTCTTTTGTCGAAGGGATGTCCCTGGGATATCCTTGGGACGTCCTAGGGATATCCTTTCTTTGTACTTGGTATATCCCAGGGACGTACCAGAAGGGCATCGACGTCCCTAGTATGTACCATGTCCCGACACAGGATATCCCAGGCACGTCCTCGTAGAAAATGAAGGACGTCCCTGGGACATCTCTGGGATATACTCGTGTTGTTAGGGGATTTACCAATATGTAGGGTGAATTATGAGATTTGGCAAAAACTTCTTCTGGTCCTAACTTTTCAACAGCCCCTTTGATTCGTCTGATTTTTTCATGGAATATTTCTTAACTAAACCCTAACCGACAGATCTATTCAGAATAGGGAAAATCCAGGACCGTCTGTGAAAAATTTCGATAGTTTTGTTTTTATCAAAAAGTTCATCCTGTATACGGTTTTTGTAAACTGTGACAGGGAATTTTCAGAGCACACAAACGAGCATCAAGAATAAAATACTCAAAATTGTCCCAACACTTACAGAATTCTTCAAGAAACGATAAACTATAAGCAAAAACGAAAGTGTGACAAGGAATTTTATTTATTCGAAAATAATTACTTCGCAACGCATAAATCTTACAAATGAAAGTGAGACTCATACTATCAATGCTTTAGCCTTCGAATATTCGTTCCAGAATATTCCGTGTGGATTATTTTGGGATATTACCGAAATATTCAAATTTCCTTTGGATATTCACATTGGCACATATATATTATAGGAATATTCGGTGGATATTCGGAATATGCTCTTCTCTCCTTGCATATTCAGAAAATATTCTAGGGATTTCCAGTGCTGTCTGGAAGTATAGCTAAAAGACAGATTCATCCTTTGAGATCCCGTGTTGAAATGATAAGATCTGACCTCTTCTTTCAAGTGATCATTATTAGTATACAGGGTGCCCCTAGACTAGTGGGACAGTTGAATATCTCCTGAACCAATAGGAATTTTCAAAAAATTCCCAAAAATGAAAAATCTCGATTTTCCACACCCTATATCTCGGAAATCATTCCCGCTAGACCCCAAGTGTGCTAGGTCGTTGAACTCAGCTCTTCAAGAAGAATATGAAAATGCAGTGGAATACAGGGTGTTCCATTTGAAAAAATTGATGTTCGATTTTGTGAGCCTTTCTTGCGCCCCTCGTATAAAATATAGTCATTCCTGAAGTTAGCACTCATAATGCGATATGATGTGGAATTATAATATTTCGAAAATTCCTATTGGTTCAGAAGATATTTAACTGTCCCACTGGTCTAGGGACACCCTGTTTATGTATGCTGGAAGTGTATGTGAATATATTTCTTATTTTCAGTTTTCGGTTGGGGGATTCTTGGTGCTTGTATTGTCATGATACTCGGATGGGCAATGTATTATTTCTATGCCAACAGAAGTAATTCATTCAACAAGGTTTGTATTGCCATTGACGCCCATTTTGAGCCAAGAATTCAAATGAAAGTCATCAAGCAAACTGGGAAGAAATTATTGGACATAGCCCTCATGGAGAAATAGCCGCAGACATGTGTTTCGGGTTTTCTGACCTCATCAGTAATAGCTCCGTGGTGACGTCAGTTGCAGCCCTGAAAATGCACGGTCTGCTGACCGAAACCATAATGGGCGTGTACACCTTGGTGAAACTTTCAACTCAAACCATGTTTATAATGATCCTTTTATACATAAATAATGATTGACGACATAATTCAATCGAAAAATTAACTGGAATGTTTTATTTTTGGACATAAATAATAGTACCTTCTGAAAACGGGCCCTCTTATGACGTAGAAACCTCATCTCGCCATAGTTAAAAGAAAATACCGAACGCCCAACGGAAACTGAGGCAACTGATATATTAATTCTTTCAACTGTGATCTCGCGCTAATTCACTCTGTCAGAAAGCATGTATCATTCATCTCTGTCTGGAATAGTCTTGTTTCAGTATTAGGGTTTTGACGTCACATCATCGCCTCGTTTTCAGAGGTCCGAAAAATCGGGGATTTCAATAATTTTTTATAAAACGTAGGGAGCTCGCAGCAAGAAACGGTTTGCGGTGGTGAGCTAGTTCGGGTGAGTTCTATCGAATTATGAAATAAATTTTTTCATGATATAAGCCCATTGTTCGGCTGGCTTCTGTTGGTTGACTCCGTTCGTATTGTTGTTTCGTCTTTCACCGTACTGATGAGGGCCGCAAGCCCGAAACACGTGTCTGCAGTCAACTCTTCATGGGGGCTATGTTCAATAATTTATTTCTAGTTGCTCAAAACAGTTCCCTCAATATTTCCTTCTATCATCATCAAGGAATCTAGGAAAATCATGACGTCCTATATTTCGGACATTCGACGGACTGATGACTGGCGAATGACTTATAAAAGATCCATTTTTGATTCACAAAACAGTTCAAATATGCGATGCATTGTTGTAAATGTGTCAACGGTCTCTCCATTTCATTTTAAGGCTTATATCAGTTAACTTTGTCATAAGTATTTTCATATTATTATTACGTAGTGAGGCAGGATAACATTTTCCATTATTGATAAACGTTTATAAGAGTTGAAAATAAACAAGAACGGCTAATTCTTTCATTTGGATAGATGAAACTCCGCAAACATAATGATAGATTTAACAACCCTCCCAGAAGGAAGTTTAATCTTCATTATACGAGTGACCCGGCTCGAAGAGACCACCATGTAGTTATGCTTCGGAACTGCTGAGTATGTCACTATTAGGTTCATTCGGGTTCCGATTTCAGAACTGTTCAAGAATCGTTCTCGAACTGCGTAGAACTACTTAGTTCGCAGTGGTTTCGAATCATAGGACTGTTTCCCAGTGTCAATTATCATTATTTGATATTTCAGTCAAAAAATCACTCAAAAGAACTCACTAAGTCTCACAGTCTCCATGAGTCTCAAACTACCCAGTAACATTTTCTCAAATTTGGTAGGTATGTAGCTTACTTGGGACGATGGATTCATTAACCTATCAGGCGGAATGGAAATAATACCAAATAATTATAATTCGATCATTCAACAAGAATATATCAAATAATCATAATTGAAAGTGTTTTCATAATTTCAATACTCTTCAAATTGACATACTTTTAGCTTTCTGCTTATGATTGTTACGATGAGAATTAGTGGCGGGAAAACAAAAAGCATCAAATCCAGTTCAGTTTTTCTTCCTCTTCACGATTCTACGAAGGCGCTGAAGGGCCACCTACACTTTTTTTTTGAATCCCGACTTTAAAGTCGGGGGTCCGAGATTAAAGTCGGGGGTCCGACTTTAAAGTCGGGGGTCCGAGATTAAAGTCGGGGGTCCGACTTTAAAGTCGGGGGTCCGACTTTAAAGTCGGGGGTCCGAGATTAAAGTCGGGGGTCCGAGATTAAAGTCGGGGGTCCGACTTTAAAGTCGGGGGTCCGAGATTAAAGTCGGGGGTCCGACTTTAAAGTCGGGGGTCCGAGATTGAAGTCGGGGGTCCGAGATTAAAGTCGGGGGTCCGACTTTAAAGTCGGGGGTCCGAGATTAAAGTCGGGGGTCCGACTTTAAAGTCGGGGGTCCGAGATTAAAGTCGGGGGTCCGAGATTAAAGTCGGGGGTCCGACTTTAAAGTCGGGGGTCCGAGATTGAAGTCGGGGGTCCGAGATTAAAGTCGGGGGTCCGACTTTAAAGTCGGGGGTCCGAGATTAAAGTCGGGGGTCCGAGATTAAAGTCGGGGGTCCGAGATTAAAGTCGGGAGTCCGAAACTGAAGTTAGGAGCTAGATTATATTCGTTAAATATGTGGACAGAAATAAATAATTTCCATTGTTACTCATCAGTTTGACGTCAGCAACATACTCCTGAAATTTCTACATGTACTCGAGAAACACCCTGTACATTTATGTACAAACAATAATTTTACATCCATTGGATAATCATCACATGAGGATCAGTCAAAATCCTTCTTTTTGAATGTATACACTGAATGTCAAATAATGGATCACACCTGTACGATCATTATCGTACGTATAGGGTAATTGTTTATATTCCACTTAATAGCTAAGAATCTCATTTGTTTGTTCAAAGGGTGCAAAAAGATTACAATACAAAACATATATTTTCACAACTGAACTACCCTGAATGTCATTCCGTCCTTGGGTAGAGCTCAGAAAGATGAGTTCAATGATATATGATTACATTTGTAGGTATGAGATCACCCCTTCCGGACTATTTTCATAATCTTCTTCAATAAATAGCCAAATTTCGAAGCCTTATGAAAACGTTGAGAATCAAGTTTTCAATGCGCAGTTTTCATTATGAATTAACTATTTATATATGTTATATTGATATTTTGTCAATATTAAGGATATTCGAATTAAACAAAAGTGATGACGTATTTTGCAAACCGATCATTCCATGGACGTATAAACAATTTAATTTCATTCTTGGATAGAGCTAAGAAAGACCAATTCAGAATGGGTCTGAGAACACCCGTTTCGGACTTATCCATGAAGTCCGAGATTAAAGTCGGACCCCCGACTTTAATCTCGGACCCCCGACTTCAAAGTCGGACCCCCGACTTTAAAGTCGGACCCCCGACTTTAATCTCGGACCCCCGACTTTAATCTCGAACCCCCGACTTTAATCTCGGACCCCCGACTTTAATCTCGGACCCCCGACTTCAATCTCGGACCCCTGACTTTAATCTCGGACCCCCGACTTTAATCTCGAACCCCCGACTTTAATCTCGGACCCCCGACTTCAATCTCGGACCCCCGACTTTAAAGTCGGACCCCCGACTTTAATCTCGGACCCCCGACTTTAAAGTCGGACCCCCGACTTTAATCTCGGACCCCCGACTTTAATCTCGGACCCCCGACTTTAAAGTCGGACCCCCGACATTGAAGTCGGGGGTCCGACTTTAAAGTCGGGATTCGAAAAAAAATATTATAGGTGGCTCTTCAGCGCCTTCGTACGATTCCTTTGATGAACTCTGTCAATTATTACATACAGTGTGTTATTTTAATATTTCGAATAAATGTAAATTATTCCTGAAGCCGAACCTGGATTTTCACTTCACCCGATAGGTGAATGAATTCAACGTCCCGAGTATAAGCTCCATACCAAATTTTGGAAAAATATACTGGGTAGTTCAATACTTATAGACGAATGAATAATTATTCGCAATCGATAAATCGCCCTGTATCTCCGTTATGAAGACTCTAAGACCTATCAAATATGGTATTTTCAGAACAACCTTGGTGACTTCTATGTACCATTGAAATAGTTCCCTTCACCTATGAAACACCCTGTATAGAAATAATATCAAATTTTCACTTATCTTTGGACGCTTCGAAATCGAATCTGCTCCCGTTTTCAACATAAAAAAATTGATCTACTGATTCTACTTGTCCAAAAAAACAGTATTTTCCGAACTCGTTACGTAAATTACTATTGAATAAGAAATGGTCATCAGAAAGTTGGTATAGCTCAGCGGATAATTGAAAATATTTCTGATAGTTCATAGAATAATAAATGATGAGAAATATTGAAATATTTCCATTTTTGATATGGGACGATAATATATTAATGTTTCAGATGGTTGTCAGGACGTTTAGTACGAAGGATTGGGGCCCTGAGAACCCAGAAAAAGCAGAAGAATGGAAGAAGTACTGCGAAGATAAAAGAGCCGAACGTAAGATGACGAGGCATAGTAATTGGTTTTGCCGAAAAGCGCAAATTCTCATAAAAAGTTAGTACATGGGATGCAAATGCTATGGAAGATTGTTTGTTTCAAACAGTCTATAGTGTCTTTGCGAGAAGCTTTCTTCAAGAAGATTAATCCCGTGGTATTTCAAATAATTAGTCTCTATTTATTATGTCACTATTGTATAAATACGATTTCTTCAAGCATTGTTTTATATACACTCAACATGGTCCACATAATTCGTTACATTTTATCTGTGATATCATATAATAGCGTTAGTCGTTTTAACTTAAGAGCATGATAGTTGCCAAAAATTAAATGATCAATTCATTTATCTGAAATATAGTAGATATCATTATGTAGATGATATTCTCTTCCGAATAAATGCCTTATTATTGATTAACGCATTTTCTTTCTCCATCCTTGTATTCATTGAGCGTGTATCTCGAAATTTTGCTATATTCATACAGGGTGTGAGTCATTTCTATTGGTACATGGGCTGAGGGCGAAAAAATGGCGTCATTAAAAAATATTGCTGTGGAAAAAGATACAGGGCATTTCAATCGAATAAATATCGGGTTCAAACAAGAGTGCCAATATTATGAGTAGAAATGATGTTTGTGTCATATTTTCTGATCAAAGTCACTGAAAAGTTTCGTCAAAACCAGACGATTTCATCATCAGGAATCATCACGTGTTGCCTCTGTAACAAACTGTGAAATCAGAGATATTAGTGGGTTATTTTATCCTCAAAATTGATAGAACACATTTTCTGAGTATGACGACAATGTTGTCGTATGCAAGACGCTGATATATAGGGACTCATCACAATCAGAATCAGAAACTGATGAAGACGAAGACGATTAGCTTCACCGAGGAATGGAGAAGACTTTAGACGGTGATTATGAAGAAGATTGACCATATAAGAATTCCATGATTTCGATACCTATCATTTATATTCAGTTTCTTGTTTGAGTTCTAAGTTCATGTTTCTATCAATATACAGTGTGTCCCACTTACCATGCTCACCATGGGTATCTTCTTAACGGTGAGAGATACGAGGTCGGTAAAATGACACCAAATGTGGAGTTTGTCAAGGCCAACTATAATGTGAAAAAATATTTTGATAAAATCTATTCGTTTTTGTTTTATACGCAAAAAACAGATTTTGGTCATTTTCATGTCTCTATTCTCTATTCATGAAAATATTCAAATAGGAATTCCACATTTTCATGGCAGTTTTTCAAAGTGATTTCGAAAAAAATATGAAATTTATACCAACTCTTCTAGAATTTGAGATATCAGCACCAACTTTAGTTTTTCAAATGTAGGTCATAGCTCACTATGACTTAGTTACAAATAACTTTTTTTTCTCTTACCAATGATATGTCGCAGTAATAGTTTTGTGTTGATAACAACGGAGTTATCGTCATTTATACAAAACAAAAAATTATTTGGAAGCCGCCATCTTGAATTTATTAATTTTAACAAAAAAATCATGATCTCTGACCTCGAAAACCCCCATTTACCAATTTTGAATGGAATCGAACCAAATCTTGTCCGCCATCTTGGAGCAGCCATTTTTCATAATTTCAACAAAAATTCCATAATGTATTGTCTTCTAAATCATGAACACCTGCCAAATTCCAAGCTAATCGGAATTATGGAATTTTTGTTGAAAAAAAAAGGCTGCTCCAAGATGGCGGACAAGATTTGGTCCGATTCCATTCAATATTGGTAAATGAGGGTTTTAGAGGTCGGAGATCATGATTTTTTTGTTAAAATTCATAAATTCAAGATGGCGGCTTCCAAATAATTTTTTGTTTTGTATAAATGACGATAACTCCGTTGTTATCAACACAAAACCATTACTGCGACATATCATTGGTAAGAGATAAAAAAGTTATTTGTTACTAAGTCATAGTGAGCTATGACCTACATTTGAAAAACTAAAGTTGGTGCTGATATCTCAAATTCTAGGAGAGTTGGTATAAATTTCTTATTTTTTTCGAAATCACTTTGAAAAACTGCCATGAGAATGTGGAATTCCTATTTGAATATTTTCATGAATAGAGAAGTTACGGAGGAGACATTAAAATGACCAAAATCTGTTTTCTGCGTATAAAACAAAAACGAATAGATTTTATCAAAATATTTTTTCACATTATAGTTGGTCTTGACAAACTACACATTTGGGGTCATTTAACCGACCTCGTATCTCTCACCGTTGAAAAGATACCCATGGTGAGCATGGTAAGTGGGACACACTGTAGATATTGAAACATATTGAAAAACAAAATTACTTCATTAGAATTCAGATGTTGGTATGTCATTAATACTGGTCATTAATTGGCTCATTGGCACGATTTTTATAACACCGTCATTTCACATCACATACATGATACATAAAATTAAATTCCCAGTATGGAAGAATGCTTCTGTGTCGATTTTGATGATAATTGATAAACATACAGTGGAATTATTAACAAAAAACCAAACAAGAATTTAACTTCCACGCCCTGTATCTTTTTCCACAGTACTATTTTGTTAAGTCATATCTGGTCCTTTCGCTATATTTTGTGCCAAACAATCTGCTCTCAGCCCGTATCCTAATATTCCTAATGGTTAGGACTCAGCCTGTATAGTATGAAACGTAAAATTTACCTTTTTCACTGCACCTGGTAGCTTTTCGTCGGCGGCATATGGGTGTGGGTTGATACCTTTGCTATTTCTCAGATATCTCAATATTTTAAAATCAATTACTAGATAATATCACCTTGACTGTGAATTTGATATGTATTTGAGTATATAATTAATTTTTGGACGCCACTGATTCTTTCAGAACATAGATAGTACGTCTAGGGTAAAATCAGAAACCTGTGGGTTGAGTTTGAAGAGAGAGAGATATCAGTAAAAACATGGAAACTTCAAAAATACACACAATTTTAATGATGAAAAATTCTTTCATGAAATACATTAATAATTATATACATTATAGTAGAATATTATGGAAGCTCTTCAATTCCTGATGTTATCAGATATGATACTTATATGATTGACACTTTAGTTCAAATTCCTATAAACCCATTTTGAAGAATATTGTCATTGGACTATTATAATTGAATGATGTTGATTATACCCTGAAAATTCATGAATTTTGGGGAGTCTTATTGCGCATTTTCCGCTATATGAGATATTTCATGTCCGCTGCTAATGGTTTTAGAAATTCAAGTAGGGTTTGAACATACTGTGTGTTGAAATTTGAAAAGTTATACCTCCATAATAATTGATATGTAAATATGTAAAAGTTATGTAAAATTAATAGTCAATGGACTTAATACTAAAAAACCTGAGTTATCCAATATGCAGTTATCTGCTAGATGTCGACGGTTACTGGACATGGAAGATGGTCACAAGATGGCGACATTGAAGGGCAGCTTCAAAATTGGTGTCTGGACGGATCACCACTGGCCAGGTTCGAGGAGACTCAGAAACCTGCGCCTACTGAAAAGATCCCATAGGGTAGGGAAGAAAAGACCATGGCCTTCAGGAATTGCATGGGGTTAAACGCTGCTGTTGACATCACCCATACTGATGAGCACGTGGATGTGCGGCATTCATCACTCCAACATAAAACCCTAAAATAAATTATGGGGCGTATAGAGACCGCCTGGATCACTGATGGGGAGACAAAATAACTCACCTCGTTTGGATCGAGGGTTTTAACAAATAAACCTTGTTGAACATTGGTGAGCAGGAACGTGGCGATGAGGGTCCGGTCGGCATAAGAGTCACGTGGTCGAAGTCGGGACGTCTGGATCTCTTGTACTGCATTTGGGCAACTTGGTTAGGCCCCATAAAGGTGAGCGGAATAAATAGTGCCAACTAGTTCGCGTGCTGCTGCTGCTGCTGCTGCGAGGACAACCACCTTGGGAGAAGAATCATGGCCAACTGAGAAAAGTCCTCGCCGGAAAGCGGAAACCGAAATCGATACGACCTTGACATTGACACAGTTTTGTCCGTCATGACCTAATTTTACTTGATAGTTCTAACGAACACCAAGAGATGGCGACAGCGAGAATGCCAAAATCCTTACATAGTTGAGTATGCTTTGAACAACGTCCGAATGCTAAAATCCATGCATAGTGGAGTCCCTTTCGAGCAAGGTCTGAACGAGGCATCGGAATTAAGATATTCATGCGTAGAACGACTAATTCACGGCAGAGGAATTCGCCAAATACGAAGGAAGAATAAGAGTAGAAATTGTCTGACTGTCAGTACAGTACGGTCACAAGGTCACGGTCACGACATAACCAAGCAGTGAAGAAGTAAACATTGGATATTGAATAACTCGCTGGGATATTTATGAAAATCAATGAAAAGATATTCCAACCAATTTCCCACGACTATATCTAACTATACAATATTTACATATAAACACGGGAGGAGTATATCGTACGTATCTTTTGTTATTCCTTGTCTGATTTTCAGTGTTTGTGAATTCCTATGATTGTTGTTTTCTTTATTTTCAGAAAAACTATTGGAAATACAGAAATTTGATAATCATCATTGAATAGGAGACTACCTCAAGCAGGTTCATAATATTGTATGGTTCACGTATCATGCAAAAAGATTCAGGTAGGATTTTCATTGGATAAAATATTTGTGTTGCTATTCAATGTTGACATTCAGATTGATTTTATATTTAATTTTTTTCAGGATACCCACAACTCATGAGACACAAGGAGAGGCAGCGTGGTATACAGTGTGTTCAACTAGACACACCTCTTTGAACTATGTTACAAAATATACAATAAAAGTGTCTGACTTCTATAGTGTTTCATTTGAGAGTTTTATCTGGAATTATAGTAGAAGATCACGTAGAAAAGTAACGTTTTGATGTAGGCTAGTTATATTAGAAAATAAAAACGTTACACTACCCCCCTCCGAAAAATAAAAAAAAGACTATCTTGATAGTCTTTTTTTTTTCAGCAAAAACAAGACTATTATTAATGTAATCAAACATACTTATTATTACAGGGAATGTTGCAATTCAAATTTTTAGAGTCACTTCCTGAAAGTCACATTCAGGTAGTTAGATTTCAAAAAGAACTTCCTAATGAAAAATTGACTAGATATTCATCTGTTGTGGCTTGATAACTGCGCGTATCACACGCCCTCAATGGGTACAAAATCGGTAGGTCAAAAATTGGGTAAAGTCAAAATCATGAATGTCTTCCACAACTAGTCAATGAAAAATATAAAAATTTGAATGTACATCTATTTACAGTTCGTGAAACTAAATCACTTAGGGAAATACTAAATATATTTTATATTATATTGTGTTGAGAAGATTTTTTCTTTATAGAAGTGTGAATCTCTCCGGGGAAGAATGAGTTTGATTTCTATTGCC